TTTTTGGGTTGAGTTACCCTTTAAATAGAATCAACACTGCAACACAGGTGACTCATTCTCTTATGCATCTGTCAATATGACAACAATGGCAAAACAGATATTCCAGTTTCAAGCTGTTGGTCTTCTAGACAGTGATCTTATCTCAATGTATGTGTCTATCTTTAATCCTTTCTCCAACTCTTACAACAAATCATCTATTATAGCTTGCCACGTGTCTGTAGAGTCTGTAAAGTTTTAATAATAATAATAATAATAATAATAATAATAACATGAGAAACGAGGAGAAAAGGTGTCAGTATGAAGAGAGAATATCTAAAATTAAATACGGTTCATTTACTGCTTTAGTTTTTACCATAGCTAGAGGAATGGGTCCATCTGCCTCTACTTTTTATAAGTACTTGTCATCAAGACTGTCAATGCATTATTCTTAAAGCTATTCTAAGATTCTTAACTGGATTAGATGCCGTCTTTCATTCTCGCTTTTAAGGAGCTCCATTATGTGCCTCAGAGGTGCACTCTCCTCTTACCATCATCCCTGTCACTCCTGCTCTGATGAGCAAGCTCTCTCAGATAAGAGGGTCTATTAACCTACTGTACTTGTACATAAATACTGTATACTATTATACTATATTTATCTGTAAATTTTTATCTCAGTCACACATATATATAATTATATATGTAATATTATTAATAGCTATAAACCTGAAAACTACAAAACTAAAAACTCAAACATGTACATATACAACAGATTCTAAGGTAGAAACTTGAAGCTATAAAACTAAAAACACATGCAAACACATACATATACAACAAACCCTAAGTCAGAAACCTGAAAACTACAAAACTAAAAACACAAACACCTACATTGTGTACATATACAACAGACTCTAAGATAGAAACCTGAAAACAAAAAGCTAAAACAGTACATACAATAGACAGTTGAAAAACCAGAAATCATAAGTGTAGTGAATGAATACAAAACTAAAATGGTTGAAATGGTTACATGCCAAATTGGTTGAGACTAAAACATTTTCATTTTAGTACAAAATATAATAATTTAACAATTCTGTGGATTTTTAGTTTTATGGTTTTAAATTCATTAAAGTAAATGACAACATGTAATTGCATTAAAAATGTAGAAATAATAATCCAAAACTTGTAAAGCAACAAAAACTGGTTTTACATTTCTTATTGAGTGGTCCCTATAACTTGCCATGTCTCAATAAGTTGTTATGAATCCATTATTATGCATAATGTTATTATAGGACCTGCAACATGACACTGTTTATTCCAGTACACAATCAAATGTAGTAAAAGAAGATCAGCCTGCAGCTAAAAGTATGAATGAAAGCACCAATAAGCAGTTTAACTATCAGTCTCTTTCAGAAGGTATGATGCCATATTTATTGTGAATCTTTCTTGTAGATGAGTTTGAAGGTGTACATGTTGCTGGAAAAAAGTTATTTCAATTTAAAACAAAACTTCCACAATTATTGAACTGGGAAGAGTATGGTTTGAGGATAACAGTACTAGAAGGAGCTGTTATACCTTCTGGAACCATTGAAGTAGCCATTACTGCTCTTGTTGGTGGAGAGTTTATATTACCAGAGGATTCTGAGCTAGTCAGTGCTGTGTACACTATAACTGTCTCCAAGCCTCTACTGAAACCAGTTCTGCTAGAGATACAGCATTGTGTTTCAATTGAAACACAACCTCAAGCAGATTATCTCAGCTTTGTTACAGCTTCCTCTAGTGACCGCTGTCCTTTCAAATTTCAATCAGTAAATGAAGGAAGTTTCCCAGTTGGCTCTCAGTATGGCAGTATACTCATTTCTGAGTTTTCTGAATGGGCCATTGTCCGAACCATTAAGGGCTGGTTGAAAAAATTGCGCCACTCAAGTCGGAGTGTATCTTCTCAATCTATGGAAAATAAGAATCCTCTCATGCAAGGCATGATTTGTAATCACTGAGCTGATTTTACATTCTTTTT